GCCTGCCGAGGAAATATGCAGTCTAGTCCTCACTCTTGAGTTGTTAATATCAAGGTCGGGAGGGCAACTTTCTGATAGATCAGGCAACTAAAAGAAGAGGAGAAATTTTCATTTATTGAGATGCACTATGGGTTATGTGTTAAATCTTCTGCAAAAACTTTCTCATTTAACTGGGTCGGCATAATTTGATCAGAGAAATTTTGGAAACCCTGAGTTAGAGGATATCTTGAAGGGTCAAGAGGAGAGAGTTCTATTCTCCACATCTGAGAGTTTTCATTTGCCTGTCACAAAGCAAATGAGGAATGAACTGGGTAGGAGCCAACAATACACCCTCATTGCCTACCTGGGACCACAGCTGACCTTAACCTAGGAGATTACATCCCTATGTGCTTTTCTCCTTTGAAAATAACTCAAGGAGACTATAGTGTGTGCCTTGATCCACTGGCTCCATACACGATTACAAGGATTGCCTGTTTAAAAAAAAAAAAAAAAAAAAAAAAAACTCGTTGAGCTGTGTTCTCACGCACTGTGACGTCAGTAGAACCCCAAGACTGAATTATAGCTTTGCATTCAATCAAGAATCATGTATTATTCTCCATGTTATCCATCATTGCTTCCCCACAGCTCAGAAGACAGAGTGACAGCAATACACACAATGGGCAAGCACCTGAGGTGCTTTAAACCTATCAATAATAAGCATTGTTCTCAGAAAGATTTTGCTCTGTGGAAAAAGCAGAATGGAGCTGCCTTTCCAATGACCGGCAGAGGCTTTGAAATTGTTTCCCATTAAATGTGCAAATTCTGAAGCCACAGAATTCAGTTACCACCTCATTTGTGTCCTAGGGATTTGGTTTGGACTGAATCAAAAAATATATCTGTTCATATTAAATACAAAATGATTATTGGATGTCCTGTGCCTCACATTTAACTGCATACAAACACTAAAATTCAATCTATGTGAAATTAATGAGTTGATGGTGAGTCTGATGCATGTTTAATCAGAAAATTACATTCAGAGTCCTTGAAAGCATATTAATTAAAGTTTATTAAGAAGGCAGTAGGTATTTAGATACAAACACAAATGCAAAATATATCAATACCCTTACCTGTAATTATCTATCACTATTGCCTTGAAAATGCTAGTGCCTTTAAATACAAATGAAACATAATGCATGCTTGGGTCGTTTTAGACATTAGAAATGTTTGATAAAGATATTTTATTTTAGTTTTCCTTTTAAACTGGATTGAGTTACACAGTGAAACACAGAGAATATGCACTTGTATTGATAAATGGAGGGGTTAGTAATTGGCATATAGTATTTCCTCTGATGTTATTAGCTACCAATTTCTCAGGTCAGGAAGAATATAAAACATTCCTTTACCCAGTTTGATTCTTGGTGTAAATAATCAAAGAAAACAGGCTCTTGACACGTCTCCCATAAATGCTATCATAATTAGACTGATTTACAAATCAAACATAGCAATAACCAAGTTGGTATGTTTAAGCTTCCCAGATTTAGTCCCAGGGAAATGCAACAGCCTTTGTTGGTATTTGTGGTATCTTCTTGTATCACTAGATCCAATGGACTTACTAACTCACTGGACGGGCCAGTGTTGGTCTGGCTTTTTCAAACATATGGACTGAGATTCCTTTTTTTTTTTTTTTTTAATTTCTTTAGCTGGGTGTCTACCATTTCTTTCTCTCTAGTGATCTAGATATCTTTCCTTCTTTCATATTTGAGAATCCCTGTTCATATCCACCTGACATTAGGCCTAAAATAAGGCAATGAAAAAGTTGGCAATTTCCAAATATCTTTGTGGAGGCACTATCCAAAAGCTGAACTGCATTTTTATGCATGCAGTGGACATTGGGCAGAATGTGGACAAGAGCGCAGTCCATTCAGCATCTCTGAGGTCAGCATCTTCCCATGATGTTGCACAGGGAAAGAAAGGCAGTGACTCTCAGATCTCTGGCAGATTTGGGGTATAGCCAACTGCCGACTGTTTACCCTTCCTCAGGACCTCTGCTGAGTTCTTGACATCCATCATCTCATTTAATCCTCATAACTACCCTGTGACGTATACATTATTTCCTTGTTTAACAAATGAGGAAATTGAGGCACAACACAGTTATGTAAGATTCAGATACAGGAAACAACTAGGATGAGAAAGAGAGGAAATTTCTTGGGCTAGAAATGCCAGAGGTAGAATTTGAACCCAGCATGGACCATCAGCTTCAAAACACACACACTTCACTCTGCTGGTCTGCCTTCTTTTTGCATAATTATGCCATGTATAGCCTATACATTTATTTTAAATTATGGAACTGACTATCGTACCTTCATAGCCTGATTTTTTAAATCCTTTCCTGATCCCAGAATCAGAAGGTCTGGGGAAAATCAGAAGGTATTTATTTGTATCAGGGATCTATTCATTTTGCTTTTTCCTCAGCATCCAAGTTTTCATCCCTTTTATATTTTTTTTCATATATATTTTGCTTATTAACTTTTATTTGCACAAACTTTCCTACAAGAAATTTAAGTCTTTGCCTAGCAGTGTTGGCTAGTAGTTATAAGCATAGCTCTTAAGGTAGTTTGCTTTGTTCAAAAACAAACTCCTTCAGTATTATTCAACCTTGGGCAGGCTGCTTATGTTCTTTAAGTCTCAATATCTTTCTCTGTTTAAAAAAAAAAAAAAAAAAGATACTGAAGTCTCAGTATCTTCTGATTGTAGCTATCTGTGGATTAAATGAGATAATGCAAAGACAGAGACTGGCACCCAGTAAGAACCTGAAAGCAATAGCTACTATTATTTGTATAAGCATTAGGCTTTAACTCAAGCAAGACTACACTAAGAAAACTAACTATAGGGTACCATTCTCTTCTCCCTTTGCAGTTAACTGGCAACGTAAAATCCTTAAATCCAGAGGCAGAACAAGATCATCTCTCAGGATTAGGCCAAATAATGGAGTCCCAGTGAACTGGAAGCAGACAGATTATCTCAGCCTGACTATTAGCTGTGTGACTTTGGGCAAGTCATGTATGGCCTTCAGACACAGGGAAATCAATCTGCCCCATGAGATTCCTACCAGTGTTATTCTTTGAAGTACCCATGCAATCATGAGTAAGCACTCACTTTCAAGAGCTTGTAATTTCCACCCCCTACCTAAACACCACCTTTTAGCCCAGGAAGCCAGGAGCCCAGGTCTCTCCTGAACTTAGCATTCGGATGCCCAGAGCAGCTGCTAACACCCCCCGCAGAGCCCCACACCTCCTTAATCTGAAATCCTCATTAGCTCCAACTGCAGGCCATCTATTACCTCACGCCCATAATGGGAGTTAATTTCTGTTGGGATCAGATGGTCTTCCCCCTGGAAATTTTTATTCATATTTCTTTCCTGTTTTGTGATTCTCAATCGGAGTTTTCTAATAACAGATCATTTCTTTTTGTCTAACTTTAATCTGGTCCTGCTTGACAAGCCCCATCCTTTTCATTGAAGGGTAAGACCACTTAAAGGAAGGCCAATAAGCCCTTGCGCTGCTCGGCCGGCTGGGGTGATTTGTCACCCTGTGCAGTGGTGGTCACACCAATGGATTTATCTCAAGGTAAATGGAGATGCTGAGACCCAGGACCTGGAGCTTTGATTAAGGCGCCCTTTTTGTAGTGTTGATAGATGTTGCTTGTGTTTATCTATTTGAAATGCCACTAAATCTGTGAATACAATGGAAAAAGAGAGTACTTTGCTGCTGAAAACATATTAGTGATTTATGTTTCAGTAAGAAGCACAATAAAGAGACAGAGGCTATTAAGAGCAGCTATTTTCATGAGAAATAGTTCTGCTTTAAAACATTATTAACCCCACCTTGATAAAGACTTACATGCATGCATAATCATGTTTACTTACCCCTTTAGTTTGCTGCGATATGCATCTGAAGCACACATTCTCTAAATATTAAGAAGTTAGTCAGCAGAATATTTACAGCAAAAGACACCTCACCTAGGACTGTTCTGCATGTAAATTTCCTTCTCTCAAGATAGGGACACATAATAAACTTATCTAGGAAGCTTTGGAGTTTATATGGACTTCATATTGTTCAAAGCACTCTCAAATCCTGCTCACCATCATTTTCTGTCTACACACACACACACACACACACACACTGCCCCCTCCACCCTGCATTGTAGTAGATATAACCAGTATGGTGACACATAAAGATTATAATGCATGGATATAACTTATAACATGAATCAATGTCATCAAGACGCACCCATTTAAATGAATAGGGTCAGATGAGAGTGCTGTATCACCCTGACTTGTGTGACAGTTACAAATGCATCACCTCGTATGCATAATAGGAGTGTACAAACCAGAAGAGATTTGTAAACTTGGTTCATTTCAAGCAGAACTGACCCACAAGAATGGAAACAAGAGGAAAGGCAACTGGGCTGGAGCTGTCGGGAAATAAGTGATTCTGTGTTTTGCTGTTTCTTAAAACCCTAACAAGGGTTTCGTGTCCTCCAGCTCAACGGGGGACCTGAGAGCAGATCAGATCAGGCTCAGCACGCTGGCTATTTACCAGGTTCCCTTTTAAAGGTTGCCGCGCCCTGCACGGAGTAGAGGTGGGGATAACAAACGTGGGGTACACAGGAGTGGAGGGGAGAGTTTGAGGTGCGCGATTCTTAACCAAGTCTGGGGGAGCGGGGGAGGGGGGGACCTAGGCGAGTTGGGCCTGGCAGAGTTAACAGTGTACAGAGTGCAATTAACTGTTTGGAAGGTTCTGGGCCGTGTGCTCTGATTTATTGATACGTTCCGGGGATTTCTCTGAAGCGGGGTGAGCGGCGTGGGGGGCGGGGAGGGCCTGGGGCGGTGCGCGCCCGGGAACCCCAGCGGGGTCTGGGGCTTGGCACCACGGTGCGCCGGGTGTTGAGCGCCGCGCGCTTAGCCGAGGCCACACCTGCACCTCATTTGCTTCCGAGCAGCGCCATGACCCGCCTGCTGATGGGGCGCCTTCCCTTTCATCCTCGGGATTATGACAAGTTATTAATTGCCACCATTAGCCGCAGCAGCCTGCCCGAGATCTCTGCTGCTCTCTGGAGGTGAGAAACTGCGCGTCTGAACGCGGAGGGAAGAGGCACCGAGCTGCGCGGGGCAAACTGAGCAACAATCTGCCCAAAAGGGATTGTGAGATGGTGAATAATTTATTAGAAAACATTTTTCTTTGTCCTTCCCACAGACCCACAAATCCTCCCCAAGCGCTCTTTACTAGCCTTGCAGATAATGTACTTACACATCTCAGAGCCTGCTAAATAGACTGAAGAGGCCATCGGGTTCACCCTCCACACTGCGGCTGCCAGGACCGCGCAGACCCAATGCGCGGCCTCTGCCAAGGGCCCGCGGATGGAGGTGAGGTAATTAGATGCGTTTGCAGAGGCAGAAACGAAGCCGGTGGATGGCCGCCCCACCTCCTTCTGGCTCCTGCTTCCTATATAGAACAGGTATACCCGAACACGCATAACCCCACAATTTCATTCCTTACTGCAAGTATGTATGGAGTTTCTACTATAATAGGGAGTTGCTCTGTCCCTGGCACCTTCTGGACAAAAGTAAGGCCACACCATCTTCGCAGCCATATGTGTGTTCCTTTGACAGAGCTGTGAGCCTACTCTGCTGGAGATGTAAAGAGGAAAGACTAGGGCCCTGTGCTCAAGGAGCTGGAAGCCCGTGTCCATGTCAGGGATGCTGCTGCAGGCTGAGTGAGATATGGCAGCCTCTCCATTCCCAGAGATCTTCATGAGGAGGAGAAATAGTCATGGCCCCTCAGAGGTTTTGGAATAACACAGTTTGAAATCAGGCCAAGCACACATAACACGAGTATCTTCTAAGTCACAGCTTTTATACCTTGATCTTTTCCTCTTTAAAGGTATAGAATCTTTTTAAATTTTATTTATTTTTAATTTAAATTCAGTAAACTAACATATAATGTTATTGGTTTCAGAGGAACGGATCTGTGATTCATCAGTCTCATGTAATACCCAGTGCATAATACCAGTACAACACATATCCTCCCCAATGTCCATCACCCAGTTGCCACATCGCTCTACCCCCTGCCCTTCAGCAATCCTTAGTTTGTTTCCTAAGACTCAGAGTCTCTTATGGTTTTGTCTCCCTCTCTGGTTTCATCTTTTTTCCTTTTTTCCTCTTTCCTCCTATGATCCTCTGCCTTGTTTCTCAAATTCCACATATCAATGAGATCATACGATGCTTGTCTTTCTCTGATTGACTTGCATTGCTTAGCATAATACCCTCTTGTTCCAGCCACATAAAGGCATAGAAATGATGCTCCAAGATCTGTCCTTCTGGGGAGTCGGTGGATTAGTTAAATCATTCAACAAACTTTAGGTTACTACATGCCATGCCTCATGCTGGGTTCTGGGGATACAGTGGTAAATAGGTGTGTTCCGTGACATCTGAGGACTGCTCAGATTCTAAAGAGACAGCATCAAGCCTGCAGGTGTCAGATGAGCATCTTAGCCGAGAATGTATCAAGCTAAAATGAGATGAGACTAGCTGCCTCCACTGTATGAGTCTGAATGTGCTTTAATGACAAGCATGACAAGTATTCTGATCCTCTTAGAGTTACTGACAGCCCCAGTCTAATGGGTAAATTACATATCAAATGTAGGAGTACACACACACAGTAGAAGACTAACATGTCAAAAAGGGATATAGTCTAAAAGACCTATTAATCCATTTATTTGTTTGACCAACACACTTTGAGTACCAACATGAGTCAGACCCCATGGCTGGTGCCAGGCATCTTGACACCTACCAGGTCTGCTCTGTGGGGGCTCACAGTGTGGGAGATGGTCTTGTGTGTAAAAAATTATAATTCTGTGGAGAACACTACCTGAGAAAGATGTCAGGTGTTCCAGAAGAAGAGAAGAGGAAACAGCTGGTTCAGGCCTGGGAAGGTGCACAAGGATGTTTAGATCAGAGAAGTTTCCTTAAGGAGCAGTGTGCTAGCTGGGTCTCGAAAAATGAGAGGGCCTCACTGAAAGAATGCAAGAGAGAGGAAGATGGGGGAAAGGAAGATGAAAAAAAGTGGCACGTGCTCACTAAGCAAAGACTATTGGTTAATTGGAATCATTCATTCATCCATTGATTCATTCAAAAAACATTGAAGCCTACCATGCTGTTATGGACTGAATGTTTGTATCCTCCTAAAATTCATATGTTGAAGCCTTAACCACTGTGTGGCTGTATTTAGAGTAAAGGAGTAATTAAGGTTAAATGAGATTATAAGGGTGGGCCCCCCAACTGATAAGATTAGTATACTTCTAAGAAGAGACACCAGAGCTTATTCTCTTTCACTCTCTTTCTCTCTCCATGCACAGACATCAAGGAAAGGCCATGTGAGAAGACAACTGTGTGCAAACCAGGAAGAGAGCTCTTGCCAGAAACTGACCATGTTAGCACCTTGATTGTGGACTTCTAGCTTCCAGAAGCATGAGAAAATTAGTTTCTGTCATTTAACTTATCCAGTCTATGATATTTTATTATTACAACCCAAGGAAACTGATGTACATGCTCCTAGCACTGTACCAGACATGAAGTAATCAAAGATAAATAAGACCAATGACTGCCCTCAAAAGCTCAGGGATATGTAGGAAAAATTGACCAATAGACAAACAATGGCCAAAGTAAATATTCTGGTGGATAACAGGATCACCTGCTTGAAATCATCCTGATTTATTTTGTTAAGTGAACAACAATTTTATCTGCTCTTCAACACTTTTGAGTATGATTGAAGGATTCGATGTCGGAGCTATTAATACTATTTACCAATACTTCAGTTTCTTCTCATTGTAGGCAAATTCCCCACTCACAAGAAGTTAACTGGGTCTATGTGATTTGTTTTAAAAAATGAATTATGATCAAAAGTGACAGATACCACTCACAGACAGAAAGCTTTAAGAACCAGTGAGTGATTTCTTCTCCTGCACAGAGAGCGACCATCAACATCCCAGGTGTGGGAGGTTCTCTTAGCCCACATCTCCTTGTGAGACCGGTAGGAGCAGAAGACCTATGAAGAGCAGGCGGCATGAGTAAGAAATAAACTTTTATTGTTCTAAGCCACTGACATTTGAGGTTTATTTGTTACTACAGTACAATCTAGACTACTATGACTGATATAAGAAAGAAAAGGTTGGTCACATTCTGACCTTGGTAGACATTCTGGAATATTGGTGTTGCTACTTGAAGCCCTAAGAGTGACATACTGTAAAGGGGTCAAGAGACAGGACTTCCAGTTTTTGCTTGGCCTGGGAGTCCTATTAATCCACCATCAGGTTATAAAATACATTAGTAGATTTTCTTATAAAAAATTAGAAATTAGAATTTCCCTTGTTCATCTACAAGTGTTATATGCTTCATCTCTCACATAAGATCTGTCAGCACAGAAGCCCATGTGTGAAGCTGTGTACCTGAGAGATGCAAACTGCAAATGGATATGGCTTTCCAGTCTTCCAGAAGATTTTGCCCTCTCATGTCCTATTCATGGGCCCAAGAGCAGAGGGCTCTGGAACTACGTGTCTGGTTTTAAATCGTGCTCTGTCACTTACTAGCTATGCAGTCTTGCACATGTTACTTAATCTCTTTAAGCCTTGGTTTCCTCACCTGTAAAATGTGAATACTAACAGTACTACCTCATGACGATGTTTTGTGTGTTAAATGAGATATTGCACACAGAGCACAAAAAATAGTAATCATCATTATTGTTGGTGTTATCGTTATTTTTCACCCTTAGGACAGTCTTAAAACCAAATGTCAAAAGTCCTTATCACAAAGCCATGACTATTCTTAGAGAATTTACTTAAGGGTCAGCAGGGAGGCAAGGATCTGCAATAAATGACCTTCCAGCTCAGGCCCAAGGTTTGTGATTCTCCAATACCAGAGAGTTTCTTAATGGAAATCAAAACATCTCCTCAGAGAGGTTCTACCCCAAAAAGGAATCCTGCCAAGAGAGGACTCAGGTTAAAGCTGGTGTGGACACTGGCATGCTGCTTTTATGAGTTCTGGAAACTAGAACTTTCTTGTAAGTCTTCTCTTTTGGGTATTTAGCAACTCACTTTGGAGAAGGATTATCTCCTTTTTGAAAGTAACCTCACCACCTGTCAAAACTGGACCAGTGTGAGGAACCGAGAGGTTAACCGTTGGCAGTCTAGCCAGGTTCTCGTTTCAGTAATTACACTGGCAGTGGCTGCTTTACTCAGCATGAACTTGGCTTCCAGTCCCAACCATCTTCTAAGTCTCTGATGACGTGACTGAAAGAGCGTCTGGATCTGCCCCAGACTGCCAAATAAGTAGGAAGGGCTACTGACATACAAGTTCTATGATGACAGCTCTTAATTACGGAAATGAGTTTCTATTTGAGGAAAAGTGACAACCAAGAAAAGAAAAAAAATTAAAGAGCGCAAAAGATTCTGCTCTAATTTCCTTCTGTCACGAATATGGAATATTCTCTAATCCTGGGCTTTAAAAAAATAATGTATTTAATAAACTTCTAAATGATGTTTACCAAGTGCTAGGCCGCATGCAGTGGACCAGTGATACAAAGATTCTTAAGGCTTTGCCTTTCTCTACAGGGAGCTCTTAGTCAGGTAATCATCCAACAATCCATTCTTTCAACACATTCACTGACATCCATTTTATGCCAGGCACTGTGTTGTGTGAACAAAACAGAAAGCTCCTGCTCTCGTGGAGCTTAGACTTCAGTGACAAATTTTGAAAAGGTAAGCACAAATAAACATACAAATAATGAGCTGTTTTTTTATGTCAGCAAAGGAAGACTAAGGGGAGCACCACCAAGGACATGTGGTGGGCATTAGGGAGCAACATATAAACAAATACTGACAATGCACTAGGAAAGGTATATATCCAAAGGGCTTTCGGAGCACAAATGTCAGTGTGCTTGTCCAATTTGACTGCAGGCCAGACTGAACATGGGGAGATGTGCATACAGGAACCCAGGTGCACAGGAATGATAAAAACACACATACATTTTGGAAGTATTTTTTCAGAATACAAACCATTAGGGATCTAAAAGCCTGACTGAGTGAAAATTTCATTTTATAGTGTTTCTGTAACTGTACAGATACACAAGAGTCGTTTTACAGATCATTTATTCTAGAAATACTAAACTGTTTTATAGCATTATACTTATCATTGAAGCAAGCAATTAGCACATCTTGCCTCCTCCTGTAAGCTCTCTCTGACTGCTCCACACTACCCACGCAATACTGTGAGTCTTCTGTGATTCTTCTCTAAACTCCATAACCCCCTCTGTATGCCTTTACAATAGCATTTTTCATACTTTTATAATCACCCATTTGCTTTGTCTTTATTGTCTTTTAGATTACAAACATCTTGAAGGCAGAGACTGTCTTGATTTGTCTCTATATGCCCAAGGCCTAGCTGTATTAGCTTGGGTTTCCTCAAAGCAGATGCTAAGGCAAGCATTCAGGTGCAAGTAATTTATTTGGAAGATGGTCCCAAAGAACACTAAGAGGGAACTGGGGAGCGGAAACAGCTGAGGGAAAGAAGCCGATAAGAAGTGTGTTATCAAGCAAGTTACCAGTCCCTCTGGAGAACTTGAAAGACACTGTAGGACATGTCCTAGTTTTGTCCCACTAAGGGGTAGAGGAGCTGAGGCATTTATCCACCAACCTCCCCATCTGTTGTTGGTTGAGGCCTGATCCCAGGGCCATGAGCTCTCCGGCATTTCTGACTTGCTCTCCTCACAGGTCATATGTGCTCCTATAATCTGAAAAAGCCCTCAGGTAGAGTCACATGTGCTTGCAGGAAGGAACCTTCAGAACATGGAGATGAGTGCCAAGGGATATGGGTTGGGCACAGCATCTGATGGACTAGCTCAGAGCCTGGGACTCAATGGCTGCTTGGTAGGCTTTGGTCACTCAATGTAACAAAACAGCACACATTGTAAAGGAACACAATTTAGTATGAGCTCCATGGTCAATCCTCATGTTATTGACATGGCCATCAAGCAAGCAGTGAAGTTATTAGGTCTGGTGGCAGCTTGAGTACATTTATGGGGGATGCTTGTTTCTGCAGCAGTCATGAACAGAATTGTTGGGAAGAGTAGTAGTATTTTAATCCCTCCTTTTTCCTTTGGCTAGTTTGCATGTAACCAAATCTCCTGTTAGTGGAGTGATTCCATCTGTGTTTTCTCACTTGCAGGTGTTGGGGGTTCAATTAACAGCACTTGCTAATATGTTGTTATTTTCTGAAAGGATGTGAATTATAGCAGATGCTATTTATGAATGGCATTTAGTAGCAATACATCCAACTAGTTTGTTAGCCTGCACACAGTCAGATGAGGCCTCTTGAATCGACCTTCCAGAACAAGGAAGACCAGCCTCCTTAACCCTTCCTCATATTTCTGGGACACCCTCTAGTTGCCCTTCCTGTTTAAAAGTGACAGTGATGAGACTAGCCCAGGATTTCACCTGAACTGTGGTGCAATTTACTTGAACAGCTCCACCCACAGCCTAACCAATAAAAAACTCTTCAATACATCCTATAACTTCAAGAAATAGGACTTCAGGAAAATAACACAGTAATTCCACATGTGTGTTCATTCTTGCTTATTCATTCATTCCTGAGACTAACTTTGGAGCAGCAGAGTATAGTGGGTAAGAGGACAGTTTCTGGCACCAGACTGCTGAAGTTCTGTGCTTCCATTTCCCCGTCTGTGAAACTGAGCTGGGAATAGTCTCCATCTCATAGTGTCATCATGATGATTCAAGGAAGTGATACGTGTGAAGCTCATTGAAACAATTCCTAGCTTTTTGAAGTTCCCAGGACTATGCTAGACACTAAGTAACGAAAGAGGGATTCATTCATTCATTCATTCATTCATTCATTCAACAAATATTGAGTACCAACTCTGTTCTAGTCACTGGGCCAGGTGTGCAATACCACAGTGAACAAAATAAACCTGATTCCAGCCCTTACAGAGTTTATGTCATTCCTGGAGGCGCAGATGGTGAAAATGGACAAAGACCCCAGCTGACAAGGTAAGGGTCAGGGGAGACTTCCTGGAAATAACTGTGCTAAGACCTGGGGTCTGGTAGCCAGGGAAAGAGTGTTCCAGGTGGGGATCGCAGGTGCCATGTTCTGGAAGTGAGAGATGGCATAACCGAGAGTGATTCACTGTGGCTGTGATATGGAGGGGAGGGATGGTGAGCAGGAGCCTGGAGAGGAAGGCAAGGAGGTAGATTATGGAAGGCCCATTGGCACTGTTACAGTGCTGCTCTCTCTGCTTGGAATAAATGGGTGGCAAGAAGAGGGAGTAAACACCACGTTTACTTGTTTACCACTCTTTTGACACCTTTTCTACATGGCTTTACATTATAATTTTTTACAGTGTAAAGTGCACACATACTTTCACTCAGTCACATTATGAATTCCCTGAGGGCGAGAACCACGGCTCTTTTACTGCCTTGAATCCTCCCTAGCTGTGGCCACTCTTCTTGGGAAATAGGCCCCCAACTAGCCATCTCTTAGCACATCTTACATAATTTCAGTTCCATGTTATTCTCTTTGGTTTGAGGAGCAGGTCTCCATCACTGTGGAGGTCCCCAACACCATGCCTTGCTCTTGTCAGACCTTCCCACAACCTTGGACTGAACTCCTTTCTCAACCTCCTGCACTGAGGTTTCAGTCAAAGCTTCCCAGTGTTCTTAACTCTTTCCCTGGGATGTCTGATCCTAATATCCTGTCATCATTCCCTACAATAATTTTGTTATCACTCACCAGACCCTCTCTCCCACTCTG